ACCATGTTGTTTGACAAGATTCTATCTTACAGTATTGCTCAGGATTACAAGTAGGTGTATATCATGATATAAAATTCTGATTTGAAGATAGTAATGATTTTAGTTTGATTTTATTTGAGGATGGAGACTGTAAAGAAAGTCAGTGATATTTTAAGTCATATTTGGTTTGTAATTCTAATTCTATTATATCTAAAAAGTAATAAGAGGTCAGGAAAGACATTGTCCTAAATAAGAAGTTGAGCACAAATCAAGAATAAGTTATTTTAGATTGCACTAACAAAAGCATTCTTTTTAAGAGTCAGGAAATAAGGGTGGTGCTATTTTGGCTCTAATAAGAATCTAATAAGTCTCTACCCAGTTTTAATGGTTCAAGGCTTGATCCACTAGAAAAAGTGTATAAAGATTGTATATATCAGAAAAGCATGAAGCTGAGAGAACCTCTATTTTTTAGTAAAATAAGTTTTAGTAACACACCGCTCTTTTCATATATTTTAATTGCAAGAAAGACTGATGTCCATCCACTGACAAAGTAGATTTGCCAGAGGATCCCTGTTTTTCCAGCTCTGCTAAGTATTAGGTAGAAGCTCGATGAAAGTTTCAGATTTGAAAACAGATGTGGGGGCTACAGGGAAAAAAAGAGGATGCTAAAACATTGCTATTTAAGGAAAACATACTGAATATAACCTAAATGACTGATAAAAAAGATAATATTTGCTTGTATGACTTCATGAAAACCATGCAAAATGTAAAACAAAATTCCTTCAGCTTCAGTATGCCAGTAGAATAAGCAGAATTGTTGGATTTGCTAAAGATTGACCAGTATTTGCCCAAGTACTATATCAGATCGTTTGTATGTGGTCACTTGTTTTTAGAAAAGATGCAAAGAAGAAACATACAAAGCCAAAGTTATAAAACTTTCATGCATAATTCAAAGTGATTATGAAAGCCTGGGATCAGTTCACATAGTCAACATTTTCTCAATGTGACTATCTTAACAGATCAGGAATTAATTGTGCAGGAGTTAATATTTGATTAGGTTTATTTATAGATGCCAACACTCAGAAGAAAGTTTCACACGGTGATGAAGTAAATCCAATTGCTATTATAGGAAGAACTTCCAAGAGATCATTAAGATTACAATATTAAGGTTACAAATTTGTTCTGTTCTTTCTGCTTTGAAAATTCTGAAACTGTGAATTGGACTTTTAAATAGCAAATTACAGTTTACATTCTGTGTGTGTGTGTGTGTGTGTGTGTGTATATGTGTATATATGTGTGTGTGTGTGTGTGTATGTATGTGTGTGTGTGTGTGTGTATATATATATATATATATATATATATATATATATATATATATATATATATAAAATCAGCTATGCAAGTAAAAATATGACTCGGGTATGTTCATATTAAAATCAATAAATAGTTGAACACCAAGAGAATAAAATTATACAAAAGTTAAAAATGTTAAAACTTTTATTTACTAAACCTAGCTTTCGTCAAGAGCTCTTGACATCATCAGGGTGTAAACGGCAGTTGTTGGGAGGGCTTATATGCAGCCTCCAATCATTTGCGCTCGGCTCTTAGATTGTGTCATAGGTCCCAGCTGTGTGCGTTGTAATCCAAGTGTGTGTCCTGCATTAGGGTGTAGTTGTTTCTCACCCTTTCTACGTGTGCTGTTACGTGTGTCTTTCTCGCTAGTTCTAAAATTAGCTGGGGTGTTTCCCCTTTCCTTGCAGTTAGTGCGTGTTTCACTAGTTTCCCATTTGTGATTCTGTCTGTCATGGGCAGTAGTTGCTGTTTTCTGCTTCCTTCTAGTTCCTCCAACCATCCCCTCCGAGCCACATATATATATATATATATGTTTTCTGAGGTTTTCGCGGGTGTTGTATGTAGGTCTTTGGTTATTCAGGTTTTCTCCCGCGTAAAATTGGAAGTGTCTTGGTGACGTTTCGACGAAGTCCCATTCATCATCTTCAGGCTGGTGTTTTCAGCTTCGTTCTTCTAGGAGCACAAAGCTGAAAACACCAGCCTGAAGATGACAATGGGACTTCGTCAAAACGTCTCCAAGACACTTCCAATTTTACGCAGGAGAAAACCCAAATAACCAAAGACCTACATACAAACACCCGCGAAAACCTCAGAAAACAAATGTGTGTGAGTGTGTGTGTGTGTGTGTGTGTATTTCCATAATAATTAAAATCTAACCTATATCATGATCTGATTTTTTATTATTTTTATTTTTTATTGTTTATCTGATTTTTAATAGCAATATTGTGGTTTTAATTTTGTAAGTTTTAAGGTAGTAAAGACTTGTAGGGATAAGGATTTGTAGGAAACACAAACATTTAACAAGAATGTATAAATCCTTAACTTTTCCTTTGAGTCACATCAGTTATATTTATGATTCAGTTCAAGAAATAAATAGTTCTTTGTCACATGAGATTGAAATATCCTGTCTTTGTTTTTTTGGTTGTCTCTTGCCAAGAACCAGAAAATACAGGAGAGCTGAGTGTTCTAGGAAAAAAGCAGGTTTCTGAGAATGTAACTTACAATTGTTAATCAGATGAACACATGTTAGCTCCTTTGTCTTCAAAGATGTCTGAAAATTTTTCCTATAGTATTGTCTATCCTGTATATGCAGCGAATACAGTGTATGGTGTTCATGCACAGTTTGGATTGATTGCTATGAGATTTATATCATGGTGCTCATGAGACAGTACAGGTTTTTTTTCTCTTCAAAGGCATGAAACAATTATGCAACACTTTATAAATAATACTTTTAACTCACTCCCCACATTTATAAAAAAAGTTGTGAATAATTTGCGACAATTTATTCAATTTATATCCAAACTATGTTTTAAGAAAATTGTATGATAAGTAATGAGTTATTTATAAAAAATAATAAAGATGGGATGCAAAAAAATCTAAAGAAAATATACATTGTGGTTTATTGACCTACCAGAGTAGAAGTATTGTTTTTGTTTTGCTCTTTAAAAGCACAAACAATACTTACTATCAAGGTGTAGAATTAGTAAACCCTACTAGAATAAGATGGTAACCAGTTTCTCTTAGACGGGACAAATATTGTGCCTTGAGAAATGATTGTTAAAACTTTCAGTTGATCTCTTATTTCTCAAGGCTTTTTTTTCCTTGTAATGAAACTATTCTGGTAATCTATAGTAATCTTCTTTGAATCCCCACAACCCTTGGGCCTGCTTCCCTCTCCCCCACTGGGTCCCTGGCAGGCCTTTCCCTCTGTCCCATCCCTGCAGTTGATCACAAGAGGTTCTTGATGCTCTCTGAGTTTGGTTATTTTCTTACAAACGTTTTCAGTGCTAGTAGGGGATTGGGGTTTGCTCTTGTTTACAGTTTACAGCCCGACCAAAGAACCACTAAGACCACTCCCACTAATACTGACAGAATATAAATTGAGAGCAAATATCACTTCCCACTAGCACTGATGATGTTATCTAGTTTGGATAGTGAAATGTCTGCAAAAAAATAACAAAACTCAAGAGACCACCAAGGACCCCTCATTTCAACCCTGAGCTACAAATATTCTCTATCAGTTGGTCGTAAGGGTGAGCAACCTATAACTTTGGAAGTGGGTCATAAGTATTTTTGGGAGAGGGATCTGCCACAACTTCAGATGGTCATTAACCTATCAATTGTTAAGAGAGGACTACTTGTACACTAGAGTCATAAAAAACAAAGTAAACATATATTTATGAGCCAGGATTGTAAATTTGGGGTTGCACTCCTTTTCTGACACTGAAGTATAATCTTTTTTTGCTACCTTCTCTCTATCCCTCATATCATAACATCCATAATTCTTAAAATTTATAATTTAATATTCTTTAAAACCATTGTTTTGTTAATACATCATGTTCCAACTCTGTTTTGTCTGGACGATTGTGAAATCAAAAGTTGATTTAATTGAATATACTGCCACTTTGCATTTTAAGCAATCCAGTTTCCTCTTGTAGTAATTCAGATGCTTTAAAAATGTACTCTAATTGGCAGTGAACTGATCTAAACCTTCAATAACACTGCTTGACTAATAAAACTTAAAAAAGAAATTGTCTGCTGTTTTCACACTGGGATTACTCCAGAATGTGTCATATCAATAAGACGCTAAATTACAGTATATATTTTGTCTTAACATCTTCCAAATGCTAATTGTAGATTTTAATTCAGGGGGATATATTATAGAACTTAAAAATGGAGCTGTATGGTCTAGGTTCCCTTTATTGTTTAACAAATGAATCACGACTTGGGAAAAATTGAAGAAAGTCTTGTTATCTTAGTAGTTTGGTTTCTATGCATCTGTCTATGTGTCTATTTTAAGTGGATTTTATATTCATAGTAAATAAAAGAGATTAGATTTTAGGTGTTTTATTTCATTATTTTAAACTTTTAGTTCATTGTAGGATTATTTTTCATCTTTGAGGGGGTGTTTTGTTTTGTTTGGGGTAATTTAATATAGTATTTTATCTATTTTCATCACCATATTCCCCCTCTCTCTCCCTCTCCCCCCTCTGTGTTCATGTACCGTGCCACTGGCAAGTACTTCATACAAGAGAAGTTGTTGTTTGTTTATGACTTTTTCAGTAAAGCAATCAAAAGCTAAAGGGATTATCACTTAGCTGAGAAGTGATCCAAAATGGTAATTCAACACTTCATTTGAAACTGGAAATTAAGCTCAATCCTTTTTTATCATATTCACAATTTAACATGCTTTAAATATTGCCATTCAGGGAGTAATAGAATATTTATAAATAAAAAGGAATTACACATAGTATAATCACGTACACACCCCAACTACCAAGGAAAATTATTTCATACATCCTCAAATGGATTGTACCGATATTCATCAGATTCCCATTATTTTCCTTTTATGAGTTCTGAAGTACCAAAATTGTTCTTCTGTTTTGTCAGCTATGTCTAGTTTTAAACCTTGGCATAATCTTAATAATAATTTTAATTTTCTTCTTTAGCTGCCCAGGATGAAGAGACAAAATGTGCATTTAGAGATTCCTACCAAAATGATCATGGGATTAGTGAAAGTCAGATTTCTCAAGAGAATGGTACAGTTTTATGTATGAAAGGAAGTACCTGCTATGGTCTCTGGGAAAAAACCCGAGAAGGAGAAATACATCTTGTGAAACAAGGTAATTTCAACCATCGTGGTGCTGGTTTTTTTTTTTTTTACTATGGCTTGATGTAATATTTTTTAATGAAGATCTGCCATAGATTACTAACCTTTTTGGCACAGGAGGTATTCAGAAAATTTAGAGCATATTATGGGAAATGGCTGCTATTGAACGTAGCTTATCCCAAATCTATTTATCAGAAATATAATCTCTAGCCTCCTGGGATATTCTCTGCTTATATTATTTTTCCTGAACAGATGGACCACTTCCAAACTCTTAAGATTTTATATCCAGGTGAGATATAAAAGTAACAATAACACAATATTTATATCAACTAAACAGTACATAGATTGTACAGTACATGATTTATCTCATCTATTATTACATTAAAGGCTATAGTCTACACCAGGGGTGTCAAACTGCTGACCCGTGGGCTGGACGCGTCATAAGGAAACCGTGCCCACCCCATTGCCGGCAATGGGAAAAAAAGTTTTGATACGTTGCACAATGTCATGTGACGTCGCAAGTTTGACATGTCTGGTCTAGACTCTACCTTTGAGAATTTTTAGTCAGACCCTCATTGCTCATAGTTTTGGCTCTTCTTCAAGAATCACTGTTCAGTTTGTAATAATCATAGTCCAGGAACTGATTTATTAACACATATAATGAAGAGTGGATCTTCCAAGCAGGGGGTGTGGATCTTGGATTATATCAGAATCAGTAGAGTTTGTTATTGGTTTTTGAATCCTGGTTGATTTCAGTATTCAGAATCATAATTCCAAATTCAGTGTTCTTTAATATGTGCTTTCTAACAAGCGTTTCTGCTTGTACAAAGGGTGGACCTACATATGTTATAGATGTTCCTTGTTCATATTATAGTTTAGTAAGTTAAGATTCCTGATTTATTACAAGCTAATATGGCCACAAATGGAACTTTACTGATGTATCATACAATATAACTTGCTCTTTTATATTTAACTTACTGTTGTGAAGTGATAAATAAATAAAAAAATATCTGATTGTGCCAATAGATTACTTTTCAGTTTGTTTTAATTTGGTTTGGTTGCTTGTTAGTTTAAAATGCACATTACATTAATTGAGAAAGTCATTTTAAAGTGATTGTTTTTTTTAAAAGTTGTCCAAACTTCTTTTTTTAAGGTTTTTAAAATTTGTAAGGCTATGAGACTGGACTTTGAACCAGATCCATCTCCTGAAGATATTTGCTGATGTTAGGTGTTGGGGATTGAGGGAGCCTCCAGTTTATTTAAAGTTTTTGATTACTTGGTGTCATCTAGTTCTGGTTCCTTGATGCTTTCTAGGACAAAATTGGATGAGTTTGGTCCTTGTTCTCCTTAGAGAGCAAGGGCAACAATAACCCTAGAGAGAAAACCACTCTGCAGAATGAAACAGAGAAGCAGCACTCCACTCAGCATTCTGAATGGAGCACTTTTGAGTATACATGGACAATGAAATATTGTCCTCTTTCTCCTCCTGGATAGAAAAAGGTTGTTTATGCAGAATAAGGTAGGAAGCGTTACCTTGAATATACCAGCTATATCTACCCTGCCTTTTCTCTCACCTTGGAAAAGGTGATTCACAATATGAACTGAATGAAACTGATGTGCTGTTTTATTTGCCATTTGTTTTAGGATGTTGGACTCATATAGGAGACCCCCAAGAGTGTCATGCTGAAGAATGCATAGTAACAACCACTCCTTCCTTGATTCAGAATGGGACATACCGTTTCTGCTGCTGTAGTACCAACCTGTGCAATGTCAACTTCACAGAGAACTTTCTACCACGAGTTCCTATAAATCCAACACCTTCTGGTGAGTTACCCCAGACTGAGTTACAGTTAGTACGGATCAGCAGTTGTGACTTAAGGAAGAGCATTATTGCTATCTTTATGGAGTCCGTTGAGTTTGAGATGCTAAAAAAATAATCCTATTATTTTTCTGTTGATATGTAAATGATCCCATATTTATTTAATCTAAAAGAGCACAGAGACTTCCTGGTTTCATCTAATACTTTTTATAAAATTTTGTAATACTTTGCTACAGTGATGTAAAGTTAATACTTTAAATATAGGCTTCAATAAGTCTGTTTCGCAGACACGTGGAAGAGTTCATCATACCAGTATAAAATTTTAGTTGTGGGGGTTGGAATTGTATTTTAAACTTTAAACTTTAATTTTGAATATTCTTTATTAGATAAAATTATGTGTTGCCCTAGGACATAAATGCTTAGACATGTTATAAAATGGGATCTTTGTGTTTTCATAGTTTGTTAAATCATTACTACAAGCCTAACTGCACACCAAGTAACTCTTGGGATCTGAGCAAAGGATTCATCAGTTTAGTTTTGGCTGCAGTATTTTGTTTCTTCTCAGAATTTTGCTTGTGATAAATAGCTTAGAGGAAGGTATTTAATCAGATGGCTTTCGAATAACAAATAGCACAATTTTAGTTAACTTTCAAAAATTGCAGGAGACATTCTGTACACATTCTACAAACACAAATACTATGTGGTGTTAGCTAAATAGATATTATTTCATAGGTTACATTGAGATGTCAGATTCTTCAATGTTCTGAGTTGAAAAAATCTGGTTATAACTATTAAAAGTAAAATAAACACTTTTAACTAACATTGAATATCAGCTGTTAAGAGAAAAAATATTACTGTACAATGAAAGATTGTTAGAAGGACATAGAAGCAATTTAAATTTTTTCTATGGTTTTCAGTATAGGATTAAGTCATAAACCAGAATCTAACAGCAAGCAAATAATATTGCTTAATATCTATATGCCCAGTTAGGTGTCCTTCAAATCATAGTCAGAAGAATTAAATTCCTGCTTCCCCAATCCCCTATAGCATTGTACTAAGAAATTGCCTTGTTCAGTTAACACCAAAATGCAGTACTTTACCACAAGGTTGACTGCTTATTTTCAAGGCATATTCTCATTGGCCATTGTTTGTGTCTTTCTTTTTAATTTACAAATCAGCATTTTTCTCCATACCTTTCAGAGCATACTAAGGAATCATCACAGGACTACCAACTTAATTATTGGTAGAAATGTAATGAAAGTGCTGGAATCGGCTTGTGGATAATGAAGGCTATAGTACTGTACATCAAGTTTGCAATAGGAAGAGAAACTGTCTTCCGTGTATTCTTATTCCCTATTGTCTTTTGTCTTAATATTTACATTATTAATGATAGTGGAAGAAACTGACAGTAAAGTGATATTGACCAGTACTATGGGATAATCCAAGCTTCATCTGAAAAAAATCCAAATCAATATTCTTACTATTCCCTGTTGGAAATATAAAGTCGACTTTAGCGAGTGAATAATAAGAAAATAACAGAGTATGTGCCCCTTGCACATTGATCTAAAATACATTAATGTATTTGAGGACTGAGATGTGCTTCCTGTATTGTTAATCTTAATCCTAAAAGCCCATGGCAGACACATCCTAAAAATAAATATGGCTTGTTTCTTATATTCTACACCAGTGGTTCTCAACCTGTGGGTCGGGACCCCATTTGGGGTCGAACGACCATTTCACGGGGGTCGCCAAACAATGCAGTCCGCCATTTTTCCCCCCTTTTCCTTAGCTATGCTACTCCCTTTTATTTATTGGCTTTTGAAAGCCAATAGAATAGATTCTCTTGAATAGAGTCTAATTCTATTGGCTTTCAAAAGCCAATAGGAATTGTCCAGGCTGTCTCTGCCCTGCCGAGCCCGCCAAAAGTCCCATTCTGCAAACAATGCTGCACCAGTTGAGTAGTCCTCAACTTACGACCGGTTGAGTAGTCCTTGACTTACGACCAGTTGGGGGGGGGGAGTCGTGGCATTAAAAAGGTTGAGAACCACTGTTCTACACTGTAGGAGAATATATCAGTATATGAGTAAAGAAAAGGCCAACATGTTTCTTAACCAGAGAAAGATTAATGATTATATTCTCTATCATTCTTATTCATTTTTATAAAACTTGCTACCTATAATTGAGAGAATGGTAGTGGAAGTGAATGTATGTATTTCTAGTTCTGCTTAGCCTTTAAGGTCAGAAGACAGACACTCTGATACAGCATGAAATGCTTCAAATATGATTATCCAAAAGGTGCTTTGGAGCACATAGAAGCCCTTTGTTTGCCATCTTACAGCAACAATGTCTTTAAAGTGTCACAGATAAGTGTGGTATTCCTGCTGCCCTGTGCCCAGTTGCCTATTTAGAGATCAAATCCAAAATACTACCATAGCATTGAGATGTGTTCCTTCAGTGTCTGCCAGTTTTCTTCTTTGTCTGCAGCTCTGAATGTGTTCGGCAGTGACCCTGGTTTCTCTGGCTAGAGAAAAATGGTGTTGTGGCAGCTCATAATCTCATAATGGGAAATACTTTGAATGTAACACCACCGTTCATTAAATGGGAAAATGGCAGCAGGAGTTAGTTTGGCTTTTCACCAAAAGGCAGGTGCTTTTGCAAGGAGGATGCAGATTATATAGCTGCTGGAATATTTTGTTTCTTTAAAATTATTTTTTAAGCTTTTCATTCCTGTGCAATAAAAATTATGTGAAATGAGTAGATTATGAAATGCAAAGTGTTTAAAGTATAACTGGTGGTAAAGTCCTGCAAAATTACCTCTAAAGGAAAAAAAAATTGACAGTAGAACTAATCTAAAACATTTACAAATTTGAATGCCAACATAGGGCATAAATGTTTGCCATTAATATAAAATAATCAAATATACTTATTAAATTTAGCAGCTGTTTACAACTGAGGCTCATAATCTCCATTTTATGAGAAGGCATTACATAGGAAAGGTCAGCAGCATAATTCTCATGGATGCCAATTACCTACAACACTGCTAGGTGGCATTCAGAGATGTCATACATTAGCGAATAAATGTAAAGACTTTAAAAATTCAGGAGATTGTGCAATTTCAGGCAAGATGACAAGACCATATATCTGGTCTCGCATATAATTCAAAAATGAAAATCTAAAGGAAAGTTTCTGACTAGCACATTGGCAAATAATATTTTTAAAGTAAATAAAAGGAACATTGCTCAGTTGCTATAGAAACTTATCATTTTAGCAGTGAATGGGCCATTTTGCGTGATCCATTTTAGTAAGTGCTAGTTCAGTGACAAGTCTAATATTAATTATAACGTATTTTGTATAAATAGTATTCAGAACAGAATAAATTAGAATGTGCTACATTAAGAAATGGATTTTTTTTCAGCTTTTGTAGAAATCCTTGGATTGACTCACATATATGCATTCCTGTATTTATTGAGTCAATATGTGATAGTACATGGATTTGTTTAATGTTCTTTGGGTTGTTACTGAGAAGGCAAATCATTCAAGGCTACCCTGAGATTTTGCAAAATAGATAGCTTCCACATTTCAACAAATACTGTTTTTTATCAGCATGGTCTAATTCTTTTTAATAAGAGATTGAGGCAAAATAGGGAATGTTATCTATGAGACAACGTTCTTAGGTTACATTCTGACCATTGGCTCTTGTTGATACTGAGGAGTACCTGAATGACTTGTTTCCAATGGAATTAGTAAGGCAGAAAATTGATAGGTACAGTTAGAAGTAGTAACAATTTTGAGAGGCAGTTTGGGGTAGTGGTTAAGGCATCAAGCTAGAAACCAGAAGATTGTGAGTTCTAGTCCTGCCTTAGGCACAAGCCAACTGGGTGACTTTGGACTAATCACTCTCTCTCAGCCCTGAGAATGAGGCAAGGGCAAACCATTTATGAAAATGCTGCCAAGAAGATTTGAGGATTAATTCAGGCAGTCACCAGGCGTCAACACTGACTTAGTGATTAAAAAAAGAAAAGTAAACTTTTGACACAGATATGATCTGGTATCTGCCAGGATTTGAGCCTTTTGGGTTTTGTTTTGCTTTTGCTCCATAACAGAAATCAGAATAACAGAATAACAGAGTTGGAAGGGATCTTTGATGTCTTCTAGTCCAACCCCCTTCTGAAGCAGGAAACCCATACCATTTCAGACAAATGGTCATCCAATCTTTTCTTAAAAACCTCCAGTGTTGGAGCACCCACAATTTCTGGAGGCAAAGCATCCCACTGATTAATTATTCTAACTGTCAGGAAATTTATCCTTAATTCTAAGTTGGTTCCATTGATCATCCATTGATACCAGATTTTGTCAGTTGAACAGAAGCATCTTTCCTCATGGAAAAATATAAAATGTTGACAAACTTGAATAGGAATGCCTTTTTAAAAAAGTCTGTCTGTAATGCCTATGGCAAATGCCAAAACCTGATCATTTGCTGTTGGCACCTATGAACAAACGTATAGCAGGAATACACATTCCTTCCAGTTGTGAGAAAAATGTTAATGAAACAAAAGTTGAGTTGCATTGTTGCCATTACGGTTACGAAAATGACCTCTCTTGGCTAAGGGGATGGAATTTGAAGATAATATTTGATCATTTGCTCCTACTGAGCAAGTCCAGCAATAAACATTTAATACACTTAGTTGTGCATGTCTTCATTAATACCAACTTTGGAATTTCTAACTAGTGGGGAGAGTTTACTTTAATGTATGGCACACTATCCAGGTTGGATTATTCAGTGCACGTTGTCTCTTGTATGTACAGTGTGGAAGACAAAGCAAAGAAGGGTTTGAGATTCATGTTTTCTCTTTTTTCCTTGTATGACAGTTATACACGTGCAGAGGGAATTGACAGGAAGAAACCTTAATGGTCTACAGGTAGTCCTTAACTTACAACAGTTCATTTAGTGATCGTTTGAAATTTACAACGGCGCTGAAAAAAGTGACTTATGACCGTTTTTCAC